CCCCCACTGTCCCCACCACTCTGTCCCAGACACTCTCCCAGAGCCCCCCGCCCACAGTGCCGCGCAGAGAAACTCGCCGACCGTCACAGCCCCCGCAACACGCCCCTGACACCACAGGCCTTGTGTGCTCAGCTGCGTGTGCCCCCGCCCAGACCCCTAAGTCCCCCCCCGAGGAGATCTGTCTGTCCATCCACACCTGCCCGCCCCGCACTGCCAGGCTCAGGCGGACCCCTGTGTAGACGGTGCAAAGGCACCAGGCGCCCCGCAGGCTGCCGGGAGCTCACGCCGCCACGGGCCGTGAAGTGCCACAAGTTTTCATATCCACAGGGAACGAGGCTCTGGCCGCGTCTGTGCGTAGCCGTGCCCTTGACCGAGGTGCCTTCCTGTCCCCACCGAGCCCCGTGTGCTGCCATCTGCAGCCCTGCCGAGCCTGGAGCAGGGCAGCCGTGGTCCCCTGAAGTGATCCGGAGTCTTTTTTTAGCCTGAAATTGGAACCAGTGATGCTTCAAATTAGAGCCCCGAAGTGAACGCGCCGAGCCTTGAGCCGGGTCGCGGCGGGGGACACGGGGACAGTGGCCGGCAGCAAGGCAGCGCTCAGCCTCTCAGAGACGCGGAGAGCAGACACCCTCAGGTTGGGGGGGGGGCACCAGGAAGTGAAGCCCCCAAGCCCGACTCCAGGGATGGGGCCAGCACGTGGCCCAGGGCACTTGCAGCGGCTGAGGGCAACCGGCTCCTAGAAGCCTCCCGCCCCCGGTCACCCCCGTCTGCTCTCAGCTGCCACAGGGAAGTCGAGGCCGAGCTTGCAGAAAACAGGGGCAAGGGCAGGTCCAGACAGCATCAACGCCCCTTCTGCATGGACCCAGGCATGGCACTGGGCTGTGTCCATACCAGCAGCACGAGAGCCCCAGGCCGTCAGGGGACCCCACTTGCCAGGGCCTGAGAAGCCTCCAGAGTCCAGGACGGGACCCCCGCCAGCCTGGAGCCTTGCTGCCCGCCCCCTCCCTGCACCCCGACTTTCGGGTGAGTTCACCCACCCTTGGCCTCCGGTGTGGTTGAGTTACGCGCCCCGGCTCGGGGCCACGCGAGCAGACGTGAGGAGGGTGGGGGGAGGGGCGCCCCAAGACCAGACAGGTGGGTCCCCAGCACGACACGCGGCGGCGTGCGTCCTGTCCCGGAGAGCCCCAGGAGGAAGGGGCACGGCATAGCAAGCCCCAAGCCCCCGCCCGAGGGAGGCTGGCCCTGCGCCTTGGCCGGGCGCTGGACGCCCCAGCGGGAACCGAGTGGAGAAACTCCCAGACTGCCTGGGAACGTGGCGGCCGGGCCCGTGCCAAGGCACAATTGAGCGAGGCCACGCGCGCCCCTGGAGCCCGGGCCCCGGCCAAGGCAGCCAGCGCGTCTGCCAGGAGGGCTGGCATGGGGCGGGCGCCGGGCGGCAGGGCCGCAGGAGCCCGCGCTGACCTTCCTGGTGTCGGCAGGGCCCCTTCTGCAAGCTGGGCCGCTGGACGCCCACTCTGCACCCCACACTGCCCCTGCGTCTCCCTCCCTGGCCCCCAGGTCCAGGTACCCCAAGTCCCTCGGGGTGGGGGGAGACAGAGCGCTCAGAGGCCCGCACGGGAGAATGGTCAGTGGGGCGTGGACTGTTCCGGAAGGTCCTGGGCCTGCCTGCTGTGGGGTGGGACCTGGGGCCAGCAGGGCCACACGGGCAGCGTCATGTGCAGCTGAAGCATCACTCGGGGCGGGCAACGGAGGACGAGGACACAGCCTGGACGCTCTAAGGCCGGCGGGCAGGGGGACCTACTCAGGGAAACTGACAGGGACCAAGATCGGCCACTTCAGGGCACAGGAGCCTGCAGGCGCCTTGCCACGGACCCAAACAACATCACGATGAACACAGAGACCGTGGGGCCATGTGGGCACCGGGCGGGCACCACACCCCTCCTCCCGGCCACACTCTGCGTGGGGGGAGAAGGACGTGCCAAGAACAACACAGTCACGCCAGACGAGCAGAGAGAGAGAGAGAGAGAGGGAGAGAGAGAGAGAGGGAGAGAGAGAGAGAGAGAGAGAGAGAGAGAGAGAGAGAGAGAGAGAGAGAAACCCAGAGGTGTGCGGCCCGGTTCTCGCACCCGCTGTGCCGTCTCCTGAACGTCATGCCACACCTGCCCTTCCCGGCAACACTTCCCATCAGGACCGAGAGGGCACAGGAAGGTGTGTGCGTGCGTGTGTGTGGGTGTTGGTGTGTGTGTGTGCGTGCGTGTGTGGGGAGGTGTTGGCGTGCGTGTGTGCGTGTGTGTGTGTATGTGCACGTGTGTGTGTGGGTGTTGGTATGCGTGTGTGCGTGCATGTGTATGTGCACGTGTGTGTGTAGGTGTGCATGTGGGTGTGTGTGTGCATGAGTGTGTGTGTGTGCGCGCGCGCATGTGTGGGTGTGCTTCGCCTGGCTGTGCTCAGGGATCACGCCGGGCGGAGCTTGGGCGACGTGTGTGGTGCTGGGGACTGGACCTAGGGTCTGCTGTGGGCAGGGTGAGTGTCGGAGTGTCTGTGCTTCGCTCTGGCCACAACCGCATTTTCAGATTTCCAACGCGTTTCCACGTGGGCCGCGGGGACAGGGGGCCCCTTGGCTCCCCTGCGGCCCAGCCCCTCCCTCTGCAACGCTGCCCCCTGGCTTCGTGTGGGGACCAGCCGCTGCAGCGGGGAGGGGTGCTGGGCAGGAAGTGCTGTTTGGGGTCCCGGCTCTTGCCCCGCACCGTCACCTGGGCCCGGTCTCCTTCTATCTGTGTCTGGTGGGTCTGCGGGAGAGGCCGCAATGGGTCTGTGAGTTAGGGACCCCTCGGCAGGGGCAGGAGTGGGCACAGGGCCCAGCCTCACAACTCGGCCCCGAGCCTAACCCCCCGACGATGCCCCTCTGGGACGTCCAGCTCTGGTTCTGGCATCAACAAAACCATCTGGAGAGTCAAGAATGGGCCAGACTAGCTGGTCACGGGTGGGGGGGCGTGGGGGGGACGGGAGGGAGGAACACGCTGGGGGCCGGGCTGGGGCCAGCCAGTGGGGGCCACTCTGCAGGGCTGATGGACGCCACTGCCCCTCCCAACCATCGTGGTGAAACAGGTGACAGGGAGAAACTGAGGCAGGAGGGCCACGCCCATGGGGCGGGTGGGTGGACCGACCGGACAGATGGGGAGGGGAGGGGCAGCAAACCCACAAAGAGGGAACCCTGCCGTGGCCGGCACAAAGCCGACGGAGGCTGGAGTTATTTTTCAAGTCCCAGAGAGAGAGAGAGGCCTTGGCCGGGCGGGGTGGGGTCTCGCGGGGGCTGGGGACACTGCTGTCCCCTGCACAGTCCTTGCACGGTCCTTGGAGAGATGCGTGATCCCCCCCCCACACACACTCGGCTTCAGGGGCCAGGAAGTGACTTAGGAACTCCGGGTCCTTCAGATCCGAGCCAGGAGAATCCCTGTGCCCCCCTGGGCAGCCTTGGGAATGGGGGTGGGGTGGGAGGGGAGGCAGTGGGTCCTCCCTGTCCTCGGCAGAGCAACCCGCAGGCGTCCTCCTCCAGACCACGATGCCAAGACCTAACACAGTCACACCAGAACCCCGAATCTGGCAGCGGCCCAGAGCACAGAACTCTGCCAAGGTGGTTCATCTGCTGCCGCCTCGGGTGTGTGACGGCAAAGGAGGCACCTTGGACAGGACGAGCGCCCGGACGCCTCTGACCGGCTCTGCTTCGCGGGGAAGGACCGGACGCCCCGCAGCCACCCGCCCGGCCCCCACGGGCCGATTCACCAAGGAGAGTCCCGAGGCCTCAGCACGGGGGAAGCTTCATCCATCATTTACCAGCGAGAAGCAGCAGCAGCCGCCCTGCCGGCCGGCCAGAGCCCGCGCGCTCCCTGGCGCTCCACACACAGGCGCGCACACGCACGCGCGCGCACACACACACACGCACGCACGCACACACACAGGCACACAGGAAGGGCACTTACATCACAACTCCAGCCTACGGAAGATGATTCAACCCAGACTGCATTTTCATGAGGTTACAAATCGAGTTAGCCCATGAGAGCCGCATCGGGCTCCGTCTGCACCCCCCGCAGCCGGGTGGGCGCCGGGTCCAGCTCCGTCCAGCGCGCGTCCTCCGAGCCGAGCTGCCGTTGGCCAGGCCTCGGGGCCCCTTCTCCCCCGGCGCTCTCCCTCCTCTCCCCTGCAGCACGGAGGAGCTCAGGGCCGACCGTGGCTCCAAGGCAGGCCCTGATGCTGGTTCCCGGCGGCCCCAACTCCAACGCTCTGAAGCCCCCACCCGGCACTCCCCCACCCTCACGTGCGCCCCGGCCAGGCCCACCCTGGGCGCTGTCCTAGCCCGGCCAGTGACCTGCAACAGGCTTTGCTCGCCTCGGCCCTTCCAGAATCACACACACCTCAACAGTGAAAAGACACACAGGGGCCTGTCGGTGGCCACAGCGGGCCGCCACCAATGGGTCCCCCCAGAGGGGCCCAGACACCACGAACCCCCAGATCCCCCAGGAAGCTGAAGGGCACCTGCCCTGGCCCCAGACGTTCTCTCTCCGTGGGGAGACGCTTGCACCCTGCACCCTACACACCGACGCTGGTCTTTGAAGCAACTGAGTGAAAAAGTTTGTTGGGTGCCATCAACTCTGGCCACCCCGGCGCCCGTGCGTCTCAGTCTCCAGGGGCATCCTTGGGTGGCCCCGGTCAGCCGGGTAGTCCACCACAGCCCAGCCCTCGGCTGAGAATGAAGCCTGGCGTCGCCCGTTCACACCTGCATGTTTGCGCGCTCCAAGGCCCCGGGGCCGAGCGCCACGGACACGGCGTCCACTCTCCAAGGCACCTCGACAGCGAAAAGCCCCGTCCACCCGCGGCCAACACGGGGGGACCAGAACCCAGTCCGTGGTCCGGCACAGAGCCCGCGGCCGACCTCAATGAGCAAGAACCCGACACGGCACCATGAGGAAGAACCCGGCTCACGGCCCGGCACGGAGCCCGCCTACCTCGATGAGGAAGTCTCCGGTCCGCAGCCCGGCCTGCCAGGCCACGCCGCCCTCGTCCACCGACTCCAGGTACTGCAGGGCCGGGAAGGCCGGCGTGGGCGTGAACTCCTCGATGGGCGTATCCGCTGCAAGGACAGGGCATGGGTCAGTGCCTGGACATGCTCCCCTCGCGTGGGGCAGCAGCTGCTGGACAGCGAAGCCAGCGCAGTCCTGGGCCTCGGCCAGCACGAGGCGCGGCGGCCTGCGTGTCTCCACGCTGCCGTTTCTTTAAAGGCATCAGTGACTAAACATTTTCAGGGCGAAAACTGGGACGCCCCCCCTCTGCCCCCTCCCCCTGAGGCAAAGAACCGCCCCTCCCCCAAATTCCCATCCACGCAGGCTCAACCCCAGGTGTGGGATCCGAACGGCCTGTGCCTGCTCCGGGCGCCTGTGGACCCAGGGGCCACCTCTGCACCAGCTGGCCACGGTGGGGGTGGACGTGAGTGCTGACGGACACCTCTCGGAGTCCAGCAGCCCAGGCCCTGCTCCCTGGTGCGGCCAGGCTCAGCGGGGCCAGAAGCCCCGCTCGAGGGCAACAGGCCGACTGTCCCGGCCACCCTGAGCTGAGTGGCCCGGGATGGGTGGGCGGGAGGATGAATATGGCCTCAGCCTTGGAAGGGGACAGACCTGGTGGACATTCTGTGCTCTCTGGACAGACCCCTTAGCAGGGCAGCCGGTTCCTGGGTCTGGCCAGCGGCCACCGGCAGAAGCTCTTCTAGCGCGAGTGTGGTTGCCCGCCCGCCTTGGACCCCCCAGATATAACCTGAAAAGCTGACCCCCCCCCCCCCACACACACACACACACGCTGTGGTCAACTGCCTGCCTGCCTGCCTGCCTGGGGCCGATGCCATTTTGTTTTCTTTGCCAGGGGAAGCCCCCACCCCCACCCCCATGCCGGAGGAGGAGGGCTGGCCGGGGAGGGGGGAGGGGGCATCCCCGGAGCCCCCCCACCTCCACCACATGACGTGGCTGCTGCCAGCTGGGTCCAACGGGCCCGGAGCCCATCTTGCCACCTTGCCTCTGCAAAGTCACCTTAGGAGCGGGCACATGGGCACCCGGCGCGCCAGCCCCAGCCAGCCCCAGCCCACTCCGGGCCCCGGAACTCAGGGGCCAGCCCAGCCCCGCAGGCAGCTCCGGGAGCCCAGCCCAGCCCAGGCGCGCGCGGCGCCCAGCCACCATCTGGCTGAGCAAAGCCACCCAACAGGCTCCATCCCTGACTGGGGAGGAAAAAGAGAGGAGAGAGAGAGAGAGAGAAAGAGGGAAAAGGTGGGGGAGGGACGGCGGGGGGCGCTGGGTGCGAGCAGTCTCGTGTTGCGAGAATCACAGGGATGCGCGCTGGCAGCCCGGAGGAGCGCTGGGAGCCCGGCGGGCGGGCAGGACGCGGGGTCCCGGGGCTGGGGCATCGTCCTCCCCGCAGGCAGGCGCGCGCACACGGGCCGGGCACACACACGGGCACGGACACACGGACACACACGGACACCCGCGCGCCCACCCGCGCGCGCACGGGCACCCGCGCCAACGCGCACCCGCACCCGCGCGCGCGCCCCGGGCCGCCGCGGCCGCGCTTACCTTTGGCCCCCCGGAGCACGAAGCCGAAGCCCTCATTGTCCCTCTTCTGCAGGACCACGGTCTTGTCCTGGACGCTGCAGTCGCTGTGGGCAGAGTCCCGCGGGAAGCGGCCGTCGCTGGCCGTGAGCATCGCGGCGGGCGGCCGGCCCGGCCCGCGGCCGCGTCCCTCCCCGCTAGCCCGCGCGGCCGCCGCGGGAGGCGCCGGGCCGGGGGGCGCCGCGGCCCGTGGTCCGGGGTCCGGGCGCGCGGCGCTCCCCGCGCTGCATCGCGGCCGCCGCCCTCCGCGCCGCCCCGCCGGGCCCGCGTCCGGGGGCGCAGGGGTGCGGGCGGAGGCGCCTGCCCCGGAAGTCGGCCGGGATTGGGGCGCCGGCGCCGGGAGGAGGGGCGGCCGCCGGGCTTCTGCGGGGTCCTAAGAGGCCCGCGGGGGCCGGCCGGGCGGGGAGCGAGCGGCGCCCGCGGGTGGGCGCGGGGGGCGCGGGCCGGGGCCGGCCGGGAGGGGCCGGGCGGGCCGAGCCCGGGCAGGGCTCCAGCGCCCGGGAGCCCCCACCCCCACGCGAGGCACCTGCCGCACGGGGGTGGGGGCTGCAGGAGGGGAGGGGCCCCAGCCTCAGTTTCCCCGCACAGCACCACTCCCGGCCCGCGAGGTCCTTGAGGACGGGCCGCCCCGGGCAGGCGCTGCCCGCGGCGGCGGAGGAGTCAGGGCCAGGGGTCTCCCAGGCCGGCCCCCCACCTCCCCTCGACCCGCTCCTCGCCTCGCCGCGCCGGGGCCGGCCAGGGGGTGCCCGCCCCAACCCCCCGCCGCTCGCTGCAGCTCCGGGTCCTGAGCGGATCCTGAGCCCAGGGCGCGCGTGTGGTCCCCACTGCTGCCAGCCAGCGCCCAGGGGACCTGCGCGGGGCGGGGTGTGTGTGTCCCTCACACCCCGGCTTTGCTGACCCCAAGGTCACTCTGACCTTCGGGGGCCGGGGGGGCTGCTGGTGGGAGGGGAAGCTGCCCGGTGTGGGTCCACACCACACATCCACGGCAAGCACGGGACAGGGGTGTGTGGGCAGAGCACCCCCACAGCCCCTCCATGTCCTCCGAGGGTCTCCATCGCCCCCTCAATCCCTCCCGTCCCGGGGCTGTGGCACCCCAAACTCTGCCTGCACCCCAGATCCCATCCGCACCCCCAGCTGGGCTGTCCGCACCTGAGCCCACCACCCCCCCTCAAGCCAGGCGCCTCCCTGACCCCCGCAGAAAGTCCCCAGGACACCCGCACTCTGCCCCGGGTTGCATCCCACCTGGGTGCCTGCGAAACCCAGTCTCCCCATCTCAGGGACCCTGACTCCAGGCCCCGTGAGGAGCACTTGAGGTGAGACTCCCCACGGACAAGCCGGCAGCCCCCAGGAGCCAGGACTCACAGGTCTCAGTTCTCCACCTCGGTCTCCCAGAGGGCCACGGTGCCCACAGGTGGCTGGGGAGGCCGAGGAAGGAAGGGGCCGGCCTGGGTCCCCAGGGTGCTGAGAGCCTCCATCAGCTCAGCGTGCCCCTTAAGTGCCCCCGGGAACAGGCTAGAAGGGAATTGGGCTTCTGAGAACAGCAGCAAGACCCGCCCCGCCCCCAGCCAAGAGACCCCCCACCAGGCCGCACAGCTGACTCAGAGCCAGGACCCCCTGGAGTGACCCCTGAGCACAGGCCAGGAACCGGGTCATGGCACCCAGGGTCCTCGTGCTCAGAGGTCACGGCCGCCTGACCCCAGGGGAAGTGAGAGTCCACCCCCAAACGGGCCCTGCACCCCTGTTCTGCCCAGGGCACGTTGGCCTTCCTGCGGAGACCCCCTGCCTCAGAAAACACACCCAGGCTTGTCCACGACCTCCCCCCCAAGACACAGGACCCCCCAAGGTGGGTGTGACACCTGCCCCTAAAGGGCCCTGTCCTTTCCCTCTGGGCTGCTGCCAGAACAGTAGAGGCTGACCCCGCCACGTGCCCAGCCCCCCCGCCAGGGTCCCCCAACTTCTGCCTGCAACTGGGCAGAGAAGGCAAAGGGTGCGCAGCCCTGCCCCTGTCCATGGTGCTGGCCGGGCCCAGCTCAAAGACAGACAGACACAAGCCCGCCCTGGCCCCAGCATCCGTGAGCAGGACGGACCTGCTGTTAGGAAGCTGACCCTATCCCACCAGACACCTCTGCTCCGGTTTGGGTCTGGAAGGGGCCTGGAGGACTTCCTGTAGGAGGCAGCGGAAGCACGGGGTGGGGGGTGGGGGGACCTGGAGAGCTGGGAGGCCGGCCGGGAAGGCCTTACAGAGGGCACGAGGTGGGGACACCACCAGGGACACCGCTGGGTGGGAAGAGGCCGCCGTGGTGGCCTGAGGGCAGGAGTGAGCCCTGAGCACCCTATGACCCCGTAACACCCCGAACCCTCAGACAGGCGTGTGGGGGTGAAGCTGCCAGCAGGACTCACCCTACCCACCTGTACTTTAGGCCGTGGGGCTGGGGGTCCCCCTGTCCAGGGCACTGAGCGTCCCGAGAAGCTCCCCGGGGCTGGGGGTCCCTCGTCCAGGGCACTGAGCGCCCAAGAGGCTCCCCAGGACCTTGCGGGTAACAGGGACCGGGCCGGTGCTGGAGAGACTCCAGGAACAGAAGTGCCACGTCTGCCCCGGAACTCCAAGACTCTGCCAGTCTGCTGAGGAGGGGCCGAGGGCTCCGTGGGGTGCCCCACGCACGGAGAGTGGGTCACCTGCCACTTTGTATGTCCACGGGACCTGATCCCTGTCTGGTGACCTCCAGGAGTTCGGGGAGCGGGGGGGGCATGGCCGTGGGCAGCCTCGTCCCCCGCCCCCATCCGAGAGGCCAGTGGACCTGCCCCCGTGGACCCCTGGGGCGGGCAGTTAAGGGGCTCCTGCCACGGGCACTTACAGGCTCAGAGCCTCCCGTGGTTCCCGAGGGAAGTAGCCACGTGCCACGGGCGTCACCCCCGCAGCACCATCTGGCTGCTTTGAGAGCAGGAGGTGACCCAGCAGGGGGCTGATGGGATGAATGATAGGGGCAGAGGTCGTGGTCCCTGCAGAGAGGCACAGAGACAGTCTAACGGGCACCCAGGCTTCCCGAAGACCCTGGTGTCCACATCCACCTGGAACCCGTGACGCCCGCTAGCCTCAGAACCACCTGGGCATGGCGGGCTCCTCCCTGAACGGGAAAGTCTCACCGGACAGTGTCCTTGCGGGTGACAGGGACCAGGACAGTGCTGGAGAGACTCAGGGAACAGAAATGCCATGTCTGCCCCGGGGAAATCCAAGGCTCTGCCAGTCGGGCACAGCCAGGCCAGCACCAGGAGAAAGGGTCGCTGTCCCGGGCAGCCGAGCGGCCCCTCCCTCGGCATCCCCCTGTCAGCATAGCTATGTTCCAATAAAACTTTATTTACAAAAGCAAGTGGGGGGCCAGAGCGATCAGACGGCAGGGAAGGCACTGGCCTGGCACAGGCAGACCCGGGGTCAATCCCTGGCACCAAGTATGGTCCCTCCAGCCCTGCTAGAAGTCATCCCTGAGCACAGAGCCAGGAATGATTCCTGAGCACCGCCAGGAACATTTAACCCTCGGCCTTAGGTCCTTTATCCACAAGGTTCCACGGGCACTTGGGCTGGGTCAGCTGATGCCCACGTGCGAGTGTCCTGGACGAACCAGCGCTGTGAAAGACCCCAAGGGAACCTGTCTGTCCCCATCTGAACCCTCAGGCGTGCCCGTGGCAGCCACGCAGGGAGACCCCATCTGGGAGCGGCAGCTGGAGGGCTTGGGGGTGGGCGCAGCCTGCCCGAGGGGGCCCGGGCCTTCCTTCTGTGGGCACAGAGGGGTGTCCACACCACCAGGCATTACTGGCCGCACTGCTGGTCCCGGGGTGCTGTGCGGGCTGACACCCGTCCCCCATCCACCACCCACCCTACACGTCTCCGTCCTCTGCTGCGTTCCCCACGCCTGCACTCTGCCCACCAAACTCCTACTCAGCCTTCAAAGCCCCCTTGAGCCTCACTCTGGGGCGTCCCAGGGTCCACCCCTAAGTGACCAGGCAAGCTGAGCCAGATCTCCTGCACATCCAGTTCCCAATTCTCCCACCCCTGCTTCCCGCTGCGGGGGCTGGTATGCCCAGTTCCGACCTTCCGGCCTCCTCTGCAGTTAGGGCCCACCCACCACCTGGCCTGGTCCTAGCAGACCCGCTGGCCACGCTCCTGGGCCCTCTGGGAAAGACCTCACTGGTACCCGGGGGAGGGAGTGTTCCCCGGCTCTTTGTTCCCTGACTTCCTAGAGAGGATCTGTTAGGAGGAGGTGATGCCTGGAGCAGTGGCAGCCACCCTGTGGCCATGAGGAAAGGGTCATTTGCACAACTGCCATTGAGCCCTGCATGGGATGCCACAGTGGGGGGTGGGCGTGTTATAACCAGTAGCCCAGCGTTTCCGAATGGACATTCGGAGACTGGAGCACAGGGGCCAGGGACAGTCAATGGTGGAAAGGGATGAAGGCCGGACACGGGCCAAGCAGGCCCTGACTCGCCCTGGCCGCTGCACCAGGAGCTGACCCCCTCCTGCCATCCCCAGCAGGGCCGGCCACCTCTACAGGGCTGGGGGCAGGGAGGGGCTTGGTCCTGCTCACCGAGGTGCCACAGGCTCCCAGGGAGTCGGAGGGGATAGCCGCGGTGAGGACGCTGCACACAGGGGCTGGGGTCAGGGGCAGGGCAGGGGGATCTCCTTGGCCTCCCGTGGAGCACAGCTGGGGGTCTGAGCATGGGTGAGCTGGAGTCCCGAGGGCCGCACAGGGGACCCCCGAGCAAGCACACGGCTGCTTCTACAGAGACCCCCGACTGTCCTCATCACTGCTCTTCACTTGACCTGGTGGGGACCCCCCGCCTGTCCCCGGCCCCTCCGTCCTCCTGGGTGCCAAGGGGGATTCCCGGTTTCCCTTGCCAGCAGCTGTGTCCAACCTCAGTGTCTGTGGCCAGGAGCTGGGACCGGCCCCTGCCACATCCCCCTCCCTGTCTGAAGGCGTTGGGTCCTCTGAGACCAGCAGCCCCCGCCCCACCCTCCAAGTCCCGCACTTCCGAGCCCATCGTCTGGGCCTGG